CCCCCAAGCCATGGAGCTGTGGGGTAAGGGGACACGGCTTGGGGGGGGAGGATCTGGACTTGAAAATCTCCAAGCTCTCTTCCACCCCACCCTCCCCAGGATTCCAGGGCCCACCTCTGAGGGAGTTCTCTCCTTCAGGGGCACGTCAGCATCAAAGCAGATCTCCAGGAGGGTGGTGCCAAAGCTCCACTTGTCAGCAGCCGTGCTGAGGTTCCCCACGTCCCTCAGGCACTCGGGGGCGATCCAGGGGATCCGATCCACACGTTCTTTGGGAGAAGGGGAAAAAAAAGAGGCAGGAGGCTGAAGGAACAGCTGGAAAAAGCCTAAAAGTAGAAAGGGAGAAGCTCCCCCCCAGGGTGGAACCAGCGGGTGCTCTCCCCACCATCAGCTTGGAGGCCAAACCCAACGTTTGATGGAGGATTTGCCCCTTAAAACGCTCAACACCCCAAAAATGAAGGTCTGGAAGGGAAGAAAACCCCTCCCAGGGTGGAACCAGCGGGTGCTCTCCTCAGCATCAGTTTGGAGGCCAAACCCAACGTTTAGATGCAAGATTTGCCCCTTAAAACGCTCAACAGCCCAAAAATGAAAGTCTGGAAGGGAAGAAAACCCCACAGGCAGAACCCACCCTATTTATCATCAAGCTGGGTTGCAGGAGAGCTGAGAAATCCCCCCAAAATTTCATCCCAGAAGCAAATCCCTGCCCCAATCTAGGCGTGGAATGCCCCAAGTACAAAATGTCATCCCAGAAGCAAATCCCTGCCCCAATCTAGGCGTGGAATGCCCCAAGTACCTTCTCTGGAGAGCACCGTGAAGCTGACGCCGGGGTCGCTGAGCTTCACGAAGGGCACAGCTCCTTCTTCCAGCCCTTTCCTGGCCAGCAGGATGTTTTTGGCACACACGTTGCCATGCACCAGGTTTTTATCCTCCTGTGGGGAAGAAGAAACCGTGGAGAAACTCCCAGGAAAGAGGGAAACATCAAAGAGAAAGGGGGGGAAATAAAAAGCGAGGCTCCCGGCGGTGAAAAGTCACCTCCTGGTTGTCCAAAATTAAACCTGGAGGGGAGGGAAGAAATCCCAGGAGCTGGAGGATGATCCAGCCCACGCCCTCCCCCAGCAGCCAGGGAGTTCCCCGAGCTGCTGGCCCCGAGCCCAGCCAGCTGAGGTGGCAGCAGTGGTGGCTTGGGAAGCTCTTCACACACAGGAGCATTTCCCAGCACCCCAGGAATGAAGTTCAAGAGTCAAAACTCAGCTTTGGAAAATACCCCTGAGCAACCCCCCAACTCCAGGGATGGGTTTGAGATGGAATCAAGGCACTTGAAAGTCATTTTTGGTGCCTCTTTGCTTCAAGGGGGGAGGAAAAAGTGGCAACTCTTT